TGTCATTAAACGATAAAATTTGATACAGAAGTTTAAGTCCCAAATAAAATCTTTTCTGCGGCACAACTGTTTTTATACAATTAGAGACTATATCGAGCATCCAAAATGAAAGTAATATTAACTTTAACAATGACGTTTAATGTATTATTTACCATTTGGACCGAATAATTCTAGTACATGTAACAAGTATTGTACTTCAGCTTCTGGATCAATGAACCCCAACTCGACAGGCTTTCGTCCAATTTCCCTGATCCTTGAGCAAATGCTGAGATGGTCCCTTGTTTTGCTTCTAGGCATAAATGTAACTTCAAATTAACTTCTCCCCTTAGCACGCCACACACAGTTTTAATTGTTTTTGACGTAAATAAATAAATAAACGGACATGTCCGTCACCCGAGGAATTGGCAATATCGTTCTACCCCACCCCTATCTGTCAAGTATACAGAAATATTATTCGAACAATAAGCACTATATTTAAGGGTGAGATATTTTGGGGAGATATTGAGAAACATCACTAAAGCACTTTTTCGGTAGTAAAATATTTGGAACAAGTAATGTAAATATTTCGAATGAATGTGATGTAAGTATGTTATGCCCTAAGAATCGTGTCTCTGGGTCATCAGTAACTCAGTGACTCCACACCACATCGCATTTTCTTTGCGACGAAATTTCTCGGAATGGACCGGGAATAGTTGAAATTGGAACGACGTGCAAAATCTTTCCTCGAAAGGTTACTTATAAACATAGCGAATATTTCGAACCTCGAAAGATTATAAATGTATCTGAAAGTACAGTGGGCTCCGAAAGAGTGCTGGGGTGATTCAGTTTGCCTATTCCCGGCTTAAGAGATGTGTACTTTTTTGGAGAGAGATTGAATTGTGTCGCGAATTTTAATTTTTTAATTGTGGATTGTATTAATAATTTTATCAGCATCTTAAGGTCGAATTAAGACGACTTCTGCCAGCTAGTTTGCTCCCAGGCCTGTATTCTATTTTTTATTTATTATCCTCCCCTGGACGCAAGGAAGACACGTGACGAGCATGTGTGTACCCCTCTTCATCACCGTATCAGGCAAAGTTGGCCTGCCTGAGCTTTTTCTTCCGCCATACAGCTACAGAAACTGAGACGTTTGTATTAGAAAATTGCAACTCAATATTTGCCCTGACCGGAAAACAAACCTGGGATTGTACCATGGAATGTTAGCACTCTGTTCATAAGCCACTCAGGGAGTGAAATTATTTGATAATTATTCATAGAAGTCATGCTGGTCAAAATATTTTATTACAATATTTTCGTCTTAAGATGTATTTTCATCGTGAATACAAGTGGGATATTTTCATAGATATTAAGACTTCTACTCATTGTTATTCCTTTTTAATTAACATAACTAACTTATAATTGATAATTTTTAATGTCATATATATATATATATATATATATATATATATATACCATCAAATGTTATCGCAAATAGAATTTTGTTTCTTTGTCTTTTTTATTTATTTTCAAAGAATATATTGTAATGTTAGATATCCTAATTTAATTGTAATGAAATTGACTCATTAATTTCTTGAATTCGATTTTCTTCCCAGGTTACTACCATAATACTCTGTGGTTACTACCTTCTCAAGTTACTACGGCCTAAATTTCTTACAGCATCCTAAAATAAATGTACACTCAACAGAACAAAAAAGAGCGATGCATTCAAAATTACCGCACAGAATTGAACGTTCATGATTCGTCAAGGGATCGTTTACTCTCTGGTTCAATGATTCCTGTGTGATTCTGTGATTCCTTGCGTGTAGAATCATCCATACACTGCACAGTCCATGCATAACCTGCCGGCGTAGGATTGGATTAATCTCGGGAATCTATGGCGTGTAGTAAGAGGAGTAAGAGTGATAGGTTATAACTGAATTATTTACAAGTATAGTGTGGGACTCTGTAATTGCAATGTTTTCGAAATTTACTTGAAATGTGTGGAAAAGTTCTTGTTTCTAAACCAAAGCAAAGTACATTTAAATTTGGGGAGTAGAAGTAACGATATATCAATTAATATTAGTGTTGTTCTTTGCGCCTACTGAAGATGAGTGTAACGAATTTTAGTAAGCTGGATACAGCTCTGAACTTGCTAAGAAAACTACCTCGCGTCACACTTTCAAATATAAAAGATAATCCTGGATCCAAGAAAAAGGTTTGAATTGTATTTATCTACTAAAAAATACTAGTAAATAATAGTGCGTTAAAAAGTTACTTCAAATAAGGTACACTTCATTACTGATTCCTTTAACCTTTCTTTTCCTTTTAAATTCAGCCTAAAAGAGGAAGAGCTCAACATGGTGGTGACAAGCATGGTGCTGGCAATAAAGGTTCAGGGCAGCGTCAGAATTACATGAGATTGGGATATGAGACTGGTAATAATCCCTTTTACCTTCGTTTCCAGATGGAGCCATATTACAAAGGCCATCAGTATGTATGATTTAACTTTTGAGAATCTTCTACGTTCCTTTTTCAGTATTTTGTTGAAATTATAAGTGGCTTTTATAATGTATTTTAAATTTCTTTTGTAGTTTAAGACGACAGTACCCACCATTGTCACTGTTGCAACTTCAAAAGCTAATTGATACCTCACGTCTGCCAGTGGATAAGCCAATAGATCTAACTGCAATATGCAATACTGGTTTATACGTTTGTAAACCTGATAAACATCATTTTGGAATCAACTTAACAGATGAGGTAATTGATTTTATTGTACATGATCTCAGGTGTAAAGATGTCATTTCTACAAGTGCTCATCCAAAGTATTCAAGAAATTAGGGTGGTGTCAGGTTTGTGTCAGATATTCCTTGCACCAAAATCTTTTTCACGAAAGTTAAATTTGTAAAGAATAAGAAATGTTGAGCAGAAAATTCATTAAAGAAGAGCTTTCCTTTTTCAAGTGGGCTGTCAAATGCAAATTACTCTATAAAATACTTATTTGGCTTGTAATGTATTGTATTTAGAAAACTGAGCAATAATTTAAAGTAGATTTAAATTAATGCATTGGTGCAGAGATTTAATGGGAAAATAATCCTCTTCTGACACTTTTATTGTAGTGTTTGATAGTTATTTGCCAATCATTAATAACACTTCAGTCATTATTTTAAAGTCATAATTTGTCTTAGGGTGCTGATTTGTTCCAAGCAAAAATTAATATTGAAGTGCAATGGGCTTCTGAACAAGTTATTGCAGCTGTAGAACGTAATGGAGGAGTTATAACAACTGCATATTATGATCCTCAAAGCCTGTGGGCAGCTGTGAACCCAAGAAGGTTTTTCATGAAAGGTATGTTAATATAAAACAAGGTTGCTCAAACTTACAGGTTTTTTCTACTAATTTGCCAGCATAGCTTCTTGGCGTTGTGGTTTGCTGTTTTATGATATTGTTTACTTGATAATAATTTTGGAACAATGTTAAAATGTGAAATTTTCAAATACTTTGTGCAAAATTTTACTCATTGACATAAAGGAAGTTATCTAGAATTCAACAATACTAATATCTATTGTTTGAATTATATTTCTGCGTACTTGACTGAAGGAGTGGGGCACAGCAGTGTTGCCATTCACTGGGTGGCAGATACATAGTCATGTGGTTGTTCTTACATCTGATCACAATAGTAGCAAGAAACAAATTGCAATAAGAGAATGCAAGACGCAGAAGGGCACACACGATGCATAACCAAAGAAGTAATGTCACTGTTCAATTTTTTTTTGTTTTTGTTTTTGTAAAGAGATTTGGCAACTAAAGTGATGTCAGCAGAATTTGAAACCTCTGGTTGTGTAATGGAATCCCCTCTCCCCCAGCCAGCTGCTAGCTGGCAAGTAGACAGAAATGTTATTCAAATAATAAGAATATTCTTCAGGCATAATTGAGAAAGATGTGAAATGCCACAAGATATTCCATCGCGAAGACAGACCCTGACACCCCACATTAAATAAACCAAAGTATAATTGTGGGTGAATGTTACAAAAAGCATTTCCGCTGCTGCTCTTCATTATCATTAAAATATTAAAGAAAATCATTCTCCTAGGTTTCTCGAGTTTTATCTCCCATTGAAAGGATTTCTTCTAAATTGATTGATTTGAATTTATGAATGCATTAAACAGAAAATCTAAGTTCTTGAGAGGCCCCATTCTTGAAGAGCTTGTTTGTAAGAGATAATATGGACCTTCCTAGGTCCAATTCGTGTTATGGGTACTTTCTTACCATATGTAAAAGACCCACTTCTAAGAGTTTGGTGACTGTACTAGAAAGAATATTAGTTCCTGTGGAAAATGTTTGTCGTCAGTCAGTCATTTAATTAAATTATGTCTTCCCTTAGGCAAGCAAGGTGACCGGTTGTATTGTATCTGAGAATGGGAATCCACTGTAATCCTGCCAAAAGCAATATTACTTAATTTATTATGACATACTTTTGAAAATACATTAATTTAAGTCCTGATAGGATTATCGTGAGACTTATAGTAGAAGCACAATGTTATTGTAAAGGGTATGTAGGTCTTACTGTAGCTTTAGAAGTGGGGAAAGCAGGCATGGCAAGCAGAATGCTTCAGCTGGATACTGAATATTTATTGATATTTTCTGTAAGCCAGTAAACATTGGTATTTATTTGGAAAGGAGGCTGAGTGAATCTCAGAACCATCTTGAATAGGTCAGACTAGATAAAAATGAATGAACCTGGTCCCTGAGGTTAGAAAATGTGTCTGAAACACTGCGCTGCTGCAACCAGTGGGAGAGCGGATCACCTTAGTCAAGCCAAAAGGGCCATTGGTGGCATGTTTGTTTTTTTTTTTGTACTATTTTCTCATTCTTTTCTTTTTAAACCATCATTGCAGGGAAATAATATTACAACTTTTCTATTACAGGTGTTCCAATTCCCAAGCGTATGATTCCACCTCAAGATGCAATTGATTACTACACTAATCCTGCTAATCGGGGATATTTAGCAGATCCAGAGAAAGTATCTTGGGAGAGATTGGTATTATCACAGAAGTATGGGTACAAATTACCTGAAATAGAGAAGGACCCTCAGTATAGAATGTTGTGTGAAAGAAAAGATCCTCTACAAGTGTTTTTTGGTCTTGAACCTGGGTGGGTAGTAAATCTTCATGACCGAAAGATTCTTAAACCATGTGATGAAGAGGTGAAAGCTTTCTACAATCCTCAGTAATTTAGTTCAATAAAATCTTGTAAAGTCTTTGTGTAAATATCAATAAAAATGTTATTTCAATCTTTACAACAGAAAATTTAATAACCTAATGCTTATGCAGCACAAATAATTTTTGTACCTATTTATATTATATAATTGTTGCTTCTTAATGTACACTTACACCAACTAAATTGGTTGTTACAAAAACAATGCAGAGAAAAGACTTACTTTGAAATAATTTTTTTCTTAACTTCAATCTCCGTTCAAAACCCATCAAGCTTCACAATATCAATAGTGAATCAGACAACAGGAATATTCAATTGGAGCAAAACATTCATAATTTGATGGTGGTGGAGTGGTAAGGCATAAAAGGACAGTTGTGATTATAGAATGGGGCTCATTTTTCACCTACACCTGAATTCTTCAGTAACTCATACCTGCCTGGTATTAGCTAATAGCTGCATAAGTTCTGTTTGTAATCAAGCAACTGGCTCCCTACTTCCAGAACAATGCTAGAGGATATAAGGGAACAGGTTTAAATGGGAACAGATGGGTACCTCTGCAGTGAAGCATGAGAGAGCTTTTCACAGATTGTTGTAAGCATAAACAAAAACAGTACGTGTTATACTCGTACTTTTACGAGCTAACAAACTTCAAAGTGATACCCAAGGTGTCCACATCCTTTTCCAACAATGAGGAAGGTGCTGAATACAAGCAGCTGTGAATGATGTGGTGTTAGGATGCCCTCCCTGTTTGCAAACTGCTTCCCACACAGCAGTGTCTTCGTTTTGGAATGAGATCAAAGATGCTCAGACTGAGAGGGAAGTTCGGAGGGTGTTCCAGGTCTCCCACCACCACTGCACAAGGTTCTAGACACAGGCTGCAGTGTTGGGTATTGCATTGTCATGGAGAAATATTGCATTGTTGAGAAGCCCTGGACATTTCCTCTGCAATGTACGACAGTGTGTGCAGCAAGAATGATCTGTAATACTTGGCAATGATAGTTTTCCCCTCATGAACAGGACGGCACACAAGAATATCTTTGCTGTCGTAAGCATCACCTTCCTGGGTGATGGATTCTGTCAAAACTTGTGTTTTGGTGGTGAACCATGATGACGCCATTTATTTGATTGCCCCTTTTATTCTGGTTCATATGCTTGTGCCCCACATTTTATCAATTACAATGCAATTCAAGATTTCATTTCCTTAATGTTGGAATTGCTCCAGATTAAAACAGCATGTCTCGTATCAAGCCCATTTTTACACCTCAGTTAAAGCATGTTTCACCCACTTTGCACATCTTCAGGTCAGTCAATACAGTCGTTGCAGACTTGTCAGTATATGCGGATAATTTCACCAAAGTCCAATGCCTTTCAACTGCTAAAAAAGTTCCATAACAGTGATTTGCACCTCTGTGAGAGCAGACGCTGGACGACCACGGCAGGCCAACAGTTGCTACGCATTGACTTTTGGAGGCCTCCAACCGACAGTTTGATGGGGCAACGCACTATTACTCAATGCTTTTCATTGCTTGGCATGACATGAGCATTTCTGTTATGCCGAAATGCAGTTTTTACATATGCACACTGTTCAATTTTAGTGTCATCCTTCTTGGATCTCAGTCTGGCATACTAACATTTGCATATGTTGTCCACTAGACACCACGGTCATAATACATAATAACCTTGCTAGACACCAATGCACCCATACGGCATCTGATTGTCAAATTTCATTGTGTGCACACCATGTTTTCAAACGTACATAGTGCAATGACTGCATATGCAGTTGTTCCGAATATATAAAATAGTTGCCGTGTCTTCTGAAATGGCCCTCATGTATATATGTGTGAGTGTTGTCCAAAATGAGCATGCAAGAACGTTGCATTACTGTGATACCAATATTGTGTATATGGAGATAAGTTACATTTCAATTTTGTCAAGACAATGTTGAATGGCAATGGCAATTGAAATGTCACTTATCATGCTTTACACAATTGGCAATGGCAATATTGTAGTAAAGCAATGTTCTAGCATACTCATTTTGGACAAAAACTTGACTCTTCCTCTTTTTACCCGTGGTTTTATTGGTATATAGTAACGTTTGTTTTGGGGCCAGCTATCTCAGGGAACTTTAAGGGTACCGTATATACCTTATTTCCAGTGTTCGGAAGAATGAAGGATTAGTATTGCTAGAAAGAAAATACTCATTTTTAAGATATAACAATAAACAATTTTAATTATCAGAATTGAAATTCAGTAAATTTTGTCCAGCAACTACAATAGAAAAAAATTTAGATAAACTTATAACTAATTTACAAAAAGGAGGCTAAAGCGCGGCCACGCAAATTACACATACTGAAATCATAAAACCTTGTCTCCTTTAGAAATCAAAAAGTCTTTGTTTTATCATTTGCTTGAGCTCGGGATTTCCACCTTTTGCTTGGTTTCAAAAAAAATTCACCCTTCTTCCTCAGCTGTTCGGGTAGGGACGCCCTTTGCAGGTCAACGAACCACCAGTCTTCTTCGACCCCGGGCCGGGCTGGCATCGGACAGCTCGCGGACGAAGGTGGCCAGGCCGTGAAAAATCGGCCCTCGGAAGTCTCTTAGCGGACGTCCTTCGCAGATACAGCTAAGGGCCCCTTCCCACGTTGCGACGGCGGTGCGCTTCCGAGTGCCGCGGCTCGTAGCAGAGCATTGGTTTAAATGGAGACCTTCCCACGTGCAGCGAGCGTGCACTGCTGCGGAGATCTCTCGCTACGCGAAGCGGAGTAGGGCGTACTCGCCACCGCTAGCAGAACACAGCTTTAAATGGTAGCCTTCCCACTGTGCCGCCGGTCGCTGCGTTTTACCTGCTGCGGTCCCTTTGTTCGACGTCGCCGGAGGGTAGGCGAAATACCCCTGCAGAACCCACCCCCTTCCGCGGCGGTGCGGCCGTGGCTGCAGCAGTGACGGCGTCGGAAGGGCTCTGCCGCTTGACGGAAGCGCGCCGCCGTCGCGACGTGGGAAGGGGCTCTAAATTTTTCTAGGGTGGCCACTGGGATTCGCTAGTAGAGGGAAAAGCTGAAAGTGATGCGGAGGGACTCAGGAGGCGCCACTTGCTCGCACCTAGCTCGTCTGCCCAAGCCAAAAACATTAGTTTGCCGCATCGCAAACTTTCCTGGACATAAATTTGCTTTAGGGCCCCTTCCCACGGCGCGGCAGCAGCGCGCTTGGCAGCAGCGCGGCGCGTAGCAGAGCATTGGTTTGAATGGAGGCCTTCCCACGGGCAGCGGGTGGCGGCAGCTGCGGCAGCCGACGCCGAACTCCAGCTACGCGAAGCGGAGGAGGGGCCACGCGCCACCGCTAGCAGAACACAGCTTTAAATGGTAGCCTTCCCACTGCGCCGCGGCCGCAGCGTTCTACCTGTTCCGGTCCCTTTGTTCGTTGTCGCCGGAGGGTCGGCGAATCCTATCCCTCCAGACCCCACCCTCTTCCACGGCGGGCGGCGGTGGCTGCGTCGGAAGTGCTCTGATGCTTGAAGGAAGCGCGCCGTGGGAAGGGGCCCTTAGTGTCTTCGTTGGGTGGTGGAGAAACCCAATCCACCTGATGGTTCGGCTCTGCTCTTATCATCTACATCTTTTCTACTAACACTGATATCCGTTTCCTCACTATCATAACTTGCATCACTGTCATTACTACAGTTTACGCCGTTTCAGGTAAAAATAACAATTTCTTGATATGGTGCATTAAATCATTGTGCGTCGAATAACTCTCTCATTGAAACAGATTCCACATTCTTCCTCACTTTATTTGGAGTTGAAAGTGAACACGATTCTCCCGATTCAATAGAATGAATTTCCTTTTTAATTCTGCAAATAGATATTTTCGAAACACCCGTAGCAACAGCCAAGAACTGCTTTGACATTTTAACTTTTTTTCTCTCTCTCTTCATAAATTTAAATATTTTTGCAACGACTTAACGCGTCTGACTGTGAGGGACTTCTTATGCAACTTTCTCTGAACCGGACGCATTGTAATACTCACTTAAACAGAACTTTTACGAGTAACCTACAGATGCATTACTCTAGTAGAAAACAACTGCAAGCTTACACCTCGTGGATACGAAAAGTCAGGGTCGATGTTACACAACTGGAGGAGGGGTGTCACGCGTGCAGGGAAAAAAACGCGCTCCCCCTAAACCTAAGTTTGAGGAATGGACTCATCCGGCAGCTCTGAGCCCTCAATAATATTGAGTCACATATACAATTACTATCTTGTGTGACTAGTCAAGATGAGGTCTTGAGTGGAGAAAGCGAAGTTACATTACTGTTCAGGAGCGAAACAAGGGGCAATCTCAGCATTTACTCAAGGGACCAGGGAAACAACAATTACCCGATCGAGATGGGGTCATTGGCGTATGAATTATACTACAATTCTTGCTACAGATAGATTAGGATATAATACAGTAGATAATTATTTTTAGTAGCAAATAAATTAACATTTCAAGATTTGTTCAGTTTCATGTTTAAAGTAAAAGTAAAATTTACTTGTCATTTTACTGCTTCAACTTAAAATAATAATATTAAAACAATATTATCGATCTTCAGCGGCCACACTAAAATAATACTACCGTAGCAAGCAGTCGTCTTAGGATCACCCCACGCGTTTTTAATGCACTGTCAATCGTTCCTCGAAAAGTGCAACAGTTTACGGCAGTTATTGGAAACTTACTTTATTGAAATGATTAACTGTTAAGCCTTGTACACACGTAGCGACAAACTCACAGGGCTTTGTATAGGGACAGTTGCGAGACACTGCCCCTAGACTTGCGATTCATTGTCCCGCGTCCACACCTAGAGCCATTTGCACCACAGAAATTGACGAGATATATTCACAAAAAATCGCTTTATGTGCTTTAAATTTGTGCTTAAACAGCTTTGTTATTACAAAGAATCAAAAAAATAAGCCGTGTTGGAGGAGAAACCATTTTCCGGGAGACATAGCCGTCAGCATTAATCTTCTTGACATTATATTAGAAGGCAAGGAATTCCGTATTTTTTCAATGATGGACTAAAACGGTTTTGAAATCCGTTTGCAAATGTGTGGCGGAAAGATTTCAAAGAATCAAACTGTGTTTCGGCATCTATCAAGCTAGCTGTTACACTCCGCTTCCATGTCAGTGGATCTTTTACCAACCTAATGTATACCATTCGAATTTCAAAACAATCTATTTTACATATCGTTCTAGAAGAGTGTGGAGTCCTAATTACTTCGCTAATAGAATTTGTAAAGGTAATACACAATAAAATTTGTATTTACCTGTATACTTATTCCAAAGAAGCGGTTCCTTGGAAAAACAAACTATTAAAGCGTCGTCTTATTTACATTAAATTTATATGGGAATACAATTTTTTATTAAATATGTATTTCAATTTCAATCTCGCCATCCAGCAGGGGAAGATTACCGCCAACCCCCGCGAGGAAAATGTTCACTACACTTACAGGACTAATGATCTCAGCATTTGTCGCGCCCGGAATCACCAATCAATTAATTGAACGCATGAGTAGTTTTGCCGTAATTTTGCGTGAAACATGGGCAACTTTTAAAGTTTTTTTTCGGAAACCGCTTTTTTCCCCTTAATTCTTTAACCACTTATGTTCTTTGTAGCAAAGAACGGCAAAAAATTGTGCTGGTGACATTTTCGGTGAACTCTGTATTTTCGAAAATTTTAAAATACATAGCAAAATTAACATTGCAAAAGAACAATATTGATGAATGAGATTTTTCCTTAAATAAACGCAGTTCAATAAAAGATTTTTTTAAATAAGGTCACGTCCATTTTGTGTAAAAAAATAGTTTTCGTATAGTTTATGCTTGAAGTTAATGCATTTCGTTAATTTCAAAAATTGGATCCACTTTTTTTTCTCTTTAATTTCCCGCCCCCCGAATAAAGAAAAAACTTTAGAAAATGGCGCAGGTACCATCTTCGTTAAACTATCTGATTTTCAAAAATTGCAGCAGAAATAATGCGAGAAGGTTTGTGTTAGGATAGCACCACTGGTTTGACTGGACCAGGAAACAAATATTACTTCCATCAGGGGCTGGACTATAAGCCGTTACGTTCGATATACGCTGTACTACGTCCCGCTCTAGCGTCTAAAGTGTGTTCATATGCCAGAGAAAGCCTTGAAAACGTAATGTCATTAAAATTTGGTGTAATGTGTTATTGTATACAAACACTTTTCTCAAAAGGTACAAATTTTCCTACTTCTACGCGAAAACCTACACTAAATGTTTTGATCGATTGTGGATTAGTTGTCAAATATTGCCGGGGTCTAGCACCTAAAATATCCGATGAAAAATATCTGTGAGATAATTTGTAGTATATTTTACTTATACTTAGTAGTATAGTCACAATTTCACCCACAGCTGACTACATCCAGAAACCATATGGGGTAAAAAAAGAACGATGTAAGTGAAATTTTATAAATTCTGAGAAAAATTCAGAGGCTACATATTTTGATGGCTTTAATGAATAACTGAAATGCTGTGGTTTTATTGATGAAACAAAGTACCTTACTTTACAGTAATGTTGACTTAAACAGATTTCTCAGAATTTAAAAATGTCATTTATACCGTTCTGGTTTTCACCCGTTCATGTTTTTACGTTGCGACAGACTGTGCACCGCCGTTTCCAAGCAAGCGTAACACTTTATGGCCATCCCTTAGATTGTGAAGTTCACAGATTTCACTTCTCTCTCGTACATCACACACAATTTTCAATTGTTCTTTACATTAGATAAATAGATTGCGTAATCGCCAGTAGGCAGGACGTCCCCGATAACAGGAATGTTAAGTGACTTTCTCAAATGATATTTTCAGATACATACTTCCATTTCCGATAACCAGTCTTCGAAAATCAATTGCGTAACTCCTGAAAATGACTCCCGTTCAAGAAAGTTCTTTGAGTACGGCAATTCGCCGAATTTGCTGAAGAACAGTGCCAGTCCCAGTTCTTTTACCTATAGTGTTCGTGACACTCTGGGATGTACCTTGGACAATGGGACAACTATCAGACCAAGGTCAATTTCCATGTAAGAACCTTTTCCTGTTCTTTCCCCACGTTTGTAACTTAAGCTGGGGGATGGGGGGGGGGGTTGAATAACTCCCCATCCCAGTGATCTGACAGGATCTACTGTGAATTTACAAAGTGCAACTCAAACCATAGATGGTTTACATTAAATTTATTATAATTTCATTAATATCAACTCAAAGGAATTAATTATTTCATGAAAGTGACAAAGTTTAATTATGGGCAACACATGAAAAACCCCTGAAGATTATGAATGAGGAAGGAGGATGAATACCCCTGATCAAGATAAACAAATTTACAAATTCACTTTTATTTCAATAATAAAATAGTATAATACATTTTGAAGGTTAATACAAAAAAATTCATGTCTATGCTTTAAACGTTTTAACAATATTATACATTATTGAAGTTATTAATACACAATCACCATAGGCGATATTAATTGAAAAATGTAAACAAAATTATGTTTTTTTGGGAGGTCTAAGAAAGCCCACTTTCCGTAAATAAGATACAATTAAAGGAGTGCAGGTTAGAGTTATGCCAATCCTCACTGGAGCAAAGACCTTGTGAATGGCATATGCAACAATAAATGTGCTGGCATCTGCTGCTACTTCATGAACACCCCATGACCGAAAAATGGCATTTACATCTACTCCACTGAAAAAAAAGAAAAAATTGTTAATGAAGAAAATAATATAACAGTTTACAATTAATTTTCACAATCTTACATACCTTGACACAGCCAAGTAGCAACCACCTAATGATAATAGTGATATACCAACATGAAATACTATGACAGTAGATCCATATTCCTTCAAGGCTCTTTTTAGTTTTTCTTTATTAGTTAGTACATTACTGTTATTATTGTCCACTGATGTGCTATAGGGAGCATATCTCTGAAGGTGAAACTGTTTTCCCATTAGCACAACAGAAGGGAACTTCTGTCTTTTAAAGTATGTACCTGAACTTCCTTGCTGGGACATGTTCCTGTAGTGGAAGTTCTGCAGGTCATCAGAAATGTACTTGTAACCTTGACCCCACTGGCCACCAGGCATATTGAGGTGAGTTGCCTTTCCTTTGGCTGAAAAGGGTTCTGGAACATTTGTCTGCATAACTGAATGAAGGCTCACAAGACCTCTACAATCGTAACTGCTGAGGCGAGGATCTGATGGCTGAGAACAGCTGTTGTAGCCAGTAGCAAATTCATTATTTATGAATGTGCCCATTGTTTTTGACAGTATCACAGGTCCTGAGATATCTCTTGATCGCTGAGGAGAAAACTGAGCTTTCTCTGCAGCAGCAATATCTTCAATATTTTCTGGTAATGGAAGCTGTTTAGCGATCATATAATTATGAATTGTTGCTGTTGCTACCAGAGCAGGACTTCCTCTTCCAAATGGTGTTTTGAGAGTTTCTTGCCACCGTATGTATTTCAAGCCAACAGTGCCTACAAAACATTACAAATTGTGAAATAAATAATTAGAATCTTCTCTCTGCCTATTATTATTAAGTAACAAAAAGTAAGTTTCCAGAAACTGTAAATGGTAGCATTGTGGAGGATGACATACTCAAGGTTTTAACCATGTAACAGTGAAAAGAATTTCAATGTTCATCGAGGCCTATCTTGTTGAAATTAGCTAAACAGAAATAATAATATCATGGCCACTAAAATACTTTTCCAAATATCTTTATTTTTCAATTATTATTGATCCTTTTATTTTCACTTTGTTTTATAAATTAATCACTTAAAATCTAAAACAAAGCTGATGAATTAACATTGGCAAAGGTTTTTTTTTTTCTAACAATATTCATATTATGTTATTATTGTCGAATAGCCATAGATTTTGGATAACAAATAATGAAATAACATATTTTTATTCTTCCCCCTGACTCGGCAAAATACTTACTTCAAGCAATAAACAAAAACTAATGAAAAGTAAAATATTGCAAATAAGTATGCCAGTACTACTTACAATATAAAAAGTAAAATATAACAAATAAATATTCCATTTATTTATTCTTACATTCTGAATAAAATGGTGACAACGATGATGAACTAAGAATTTTCTGTATATGCTGGGCCATTCTGAAGAATTTAAAAAATCACATTTACCTACTGGACCTGAAAAGTAATGTGAATTGACATGTTATCGAAGAAACATTTTTAGAAATATTGCACCAACATTACTGTAGTTCTAGAAGACTTATATATTTCGTAATAACATCGCGTAGATATTTTACTGCCATATACTTACAAGAGATGAAGCACAAAAAAGTCCTTGATTAATTTGTTGGTCGTTACACTACTGAAAAAGACACCTGTACTTTATACAGATACAATATCCTCCAGTCATGCCAGTGCAACTTTACTACACTAGCCCGAGCCCACGGGACGGCAGCAATCAAAGCATCAAACAGGTTTCACGAAGGTAGGCGGGGAAGGGGATACAAGGTTTTATTAGTAGTTAAAAAAAATGCAAAGTAGCAAACTGGGCACAAGGTGAATGCAGCCAACTTAGCTAATGTTTATTCTTTCTTTCCTAGAGATTGTTACGTCTGACTCGGTTCAATTGCAATTTCGTTCCATTTACAAAAATACTCACATTAAACACATATGAATGAATTAGCATCTGAAGACCATTTATATTATACAATAACCTTTGTCAGTGTCAACAAGAAAACTGATCTCAGAGGTTGAAAAACCCGATGGACGTCTTAGCACGTTCTCTTGAACACGTCAAATCAGCCTTTGGACATGGCACTACCAACATTCTCGATAGGATTTAATTAAAGAGGTGCAAATTACGGTATTCCATGTGTTCTATTTAACCTCATTCTAACAAAATCGAGAATAATAAATAAGGGACCAAGATTTAGGGATTCTAGGTACTAATAACATAATGAACGACTTCCGATAAACATACTCATGATAGATTTCGGTCTGTATTGATTACTTACAATGATTTATTGTTTTATTAGTACTATCCTAAATCGCAGGATTGTGGGTTTCGAAGACTTGGGAAGCCCGAAACGCAATACCACAGAGTTGATTTCTAACGGGGGCGGTCTGGGGGCGGTCGATGCCGCATGTCAAGTCAGCCTTAGGTCGTGATGTCATGAAGAGTGAGTCACGTAAGGTAGCGGTTTCAGCATAAAATTTCAATGTCACTCATAAGTGCGTGGAGCAGGGCTATCGTTTTATGATTTATTGTGTTTTTTATAATGAAATATTATAATTTAATGATACATTATTAAATTGCCGTGTTTCTACAAATTGTAACTACATTCAGTTTTTGTTTGAAGTTCGCAGCCCACTGTCAAATGGTTCATGGAATATTGTTATATTTATGACGCAGGATATAAACTAATTAATACAAATCTATGTGTGATATTTATGCAGAATTGGGCAGGAATATATAGGAAATTGAATTTTGCTTTCCTGCAAACAGTTGCCATCCTGCGATCCTAGTGTACGTCAAACATGGCGCCTGTGGGGGATAGTGTGGATGTGAACGGGTTTTCGGCGAAAAAGAAGGATGATGCTGATAATAAGGGAAATCTTTGGTAAGTTTAGTACTCTGAAGTTCACGTTTGTTTACGTTAAGTGTCAACCTTGTTGTATTTTGTCAGGGTTAGTGATATTATATCGCTCCTCCCCTTTTGGATGGTTCTCAGGCATATTTTCTCATGCCGCCACAGTGTTTTATTCCATTTTGTAGATTGTCTTTTATCCTTTGTGCATCTATTTCTCATTAAACGTTCTTTCGAATTATGTAGGTCAGCAATTTTGGGAGAAGTACAGACCAAAGGAAACACTAAATTGCCATCATGTAAATCTGTTGTAGTGTTAGGTGAGTTTTGGAAAAATTCAAGCAGTTACACATATTATACTTTCTATTTGATGTATATGTTGGTAATTTATTATTTGTTAAAGGTGATAATGAATCGGGCAAGACTACACTGATAGCAAAGTTGCAGGGTGTAGAAGATCCTAAGAAGGGATCTGGTTTAGAGTATGCTTATATTGATGTAAGGGACGAATATAGAGATGGTAAGGTGTACATTTATTAAGTTTTGGCATGCATTTAAATAATTTATCTTTTTAAAGGAACAAAAATTGTGCATGTTAATTGAAATGAATGTAATGTTTGCAGATCATACCCGATTAAGTGTATGGGTTTTGGATGGTGATCCAGCACACTCCCACCTCCTCCGTTTTGCACTTTCTGAGGAGAACTTCCCCCACACTCTTGTAATGTTTGTGGTGGCAATGACTACCCCCTGGGGTATTCTTGACCAACTGCAGAACTGGGCATCTGTACTTCAAGACCATATTGACAGGCTAAAATTGTCAGCGGATGATTTGCAGGATGCTCGACATAAATGTAAGTTTCTAAACAGAAAATAATTGTAACATTCTTTTAATAAGAAGATTATATTAGTTGGGTGGTTTTTAGAGTTTTCTCAGTGTCTTATTTACAAATTGGATCTTCAGACACATTGAAATCATAGTGAATTATTTTAATATATCTGATGTTTGATGCATGTTAACAACAAGAAGTGTGCATATCTTTTCAAATTCTGCATGCCTAGTGCAGCATTAGCAAATAATGTGATTCAGAAGAAGTTTTCCTTTACTGAGAAGGAACTCCTGTTGTAGATATTTGTTGTATTTGTGTACATGTATGTGTGATTTGTGAATCTCCTGTTTTCTAACAAGGAAATATTAAGAATTTCCACTTTCCACCCAATTTAGTATTCAAAATAATATTTGACACAAATTCAAGACTATCTTAATTTCATGCTGTGCAATAATGAGATTAAATGCCAGATGGCATAGCCGATAATGTTCAAATGCCTAAGTGCTTGCCAGAAGTATAGTATATGTTGGAGTAGTGCGAGTAAATGAACTGATGGCTCGTGGGGTAATTTTTTATGCAATTTCCGAATTGGGTGTAGGAAGGTGTAGGGTGGAGTTGCCTTTTGTTATATTTTAAATTTTTCTCCACTTAGGAAAAACAAACATTATTGAGATTTCATATTGATATTATGAAATTTTGAGACTTGTTTAGAATTCATTTCAGAGTAAAACAAAATATTAATTAAATATAATATTTTTGCAAAATATACATGTGAAAGATTGTACTATGCATGCACCTGCTTGATGGAATACATCATTCTTCTGTTTTGTCATTTTTGACAAATATTTTAAAATGACAAAAACGTACTTTCTTTTCCTCTGCAACCATGTCAGTTTTATTTCACACTAAAATCATTAATCATGGAAATGAAATTTATGTAATACTTCCATAATATGGTAGTAACTTTGTGGTTAATTCTCATGACTTCCAAAATGTTGGGAAACTACCTAGTTCTATATTATTTATATGTTGTGTGTTGAGTATATATTGTTCATCACAAAACTTTAAAAAACTTCAAAGTTACTTTCTAGGACTATTTACTTTTCTATGGAGTCCTAATCATGTACATTATTCTTTGGTGCAAGAAGATCACAAAGTTCAAAGACAGGGCTTGTGTAGTGTTAGTTTTTTGCAGTTTTCACTTATTGTACTTTTATGAATGTTGTACATATATATGACATCATTATGACAAAAAAATTTTCCTGATATGATATTTATCATTGATAGCCAAATTTATAGATTTTACATCATCCAAAAACACTATTTGTTCGTACATTTTTAACAATGAACTTAATTTGAAAATAATTATTTATCCTAACTGAAATCCAAATCAATTGAATTATCTTGTAAAGTTTGGTAATATTTTATGTATCCTCGCTTGCAGATATCAAGAAGTGGCAAGATTATGTTGAGCCCGGTGACGAATTGGAGCAAGGGTCTCCAATGCGAAGGACTTCTCGCAATTTAGAAGATGATGGCGAAGTGCTCCCTCTTGGAGAAGGAGTCCTGACAAGAAATTTAGGACTGGATGTAGTTGTAGTTGTTACAAAGGTTTGGGAGCTTTGAGAATTTGTCAGAATTACAAAATCTTTTGTTACTTACATACTGTATGTCTGGAGAAGAAACTTCGAAAATGAGTTTTTAAAACAATTTTAAGCATATTTTGCCTAATTAACTACCTGGATATTCCAAATGGGTTAGGCGCTATAAGTACTAAAAAGTTGGTTTGCAAAAATTTGCATTGCAGAAGTATAGAATCACTCCAGAAACATGTAAAGTGTATTTACAAAAGAATGGAATATATTTGTTCAGAAAGAAAAATTAACCCGGAAATAAAAAAGGACTCAATTTACATATTTCGGCTGCTTTTCTATTTCTGTTAATTTTTTTCTGAACAAATACATTCATTTTATTTGTAAATAATAAACAATTCAAACAAATATTCTTATAACTGTCTTAAGAGCTGTTTTGCGAAGTTTCAACATTTCCTCCCTGGATGTTATAAGAGGAAATATGAGATGCTCTATTTAACTGTTAATGAGATATTCATATTTGGTTTTGTATGTGAGGAGTATTTATTCAAAACTAGGAGATTTTAATATGTGATACAGTATTTACCTGAATATAAAACTACTACTAATTTTGAAGAGGAAGCCTGGAATTTTTTTTAATTGAGTTTAAATTGAGATTTTTTAACTTGACTAATTTGTTATATTTAGTCAAAACAAGATTGCAAATGGACTAGAAACTTGCGCAGTAGATGAGAATGTTAAAAGCTTATTACCTGAGCTATCATTTTCATGTTGTTTTTTTTTTTTCTGTCATAATTAGAGGTGGCAATTGCATGTTTTTTGTTTATGGTCATATCTTCCTGAAACTTCAAATATGTATGGTTCATGGCTAAATATTGAATATAAAGTAAATGTTTTGCATATAATGCAGCTTTTTAGCATACAAATGAAAATTTTGCCAGTAAAAAAATTATTAATGCAAATCATGAACTTTCTTGTTGCTTCAAATGCGTTAGTATTATATGCACATGTTTTCTTGAGCCCTGGAATATCTACCCCCATTCCTTTGCCAACATTTGTTGAATTAAGAATAAATGATAGCAACGAGCATTGTAGACAAAATCTGATTCAGAAATGTTCACCCCCGTGTAATAGAAACTATTTTGCACAAAAAAACAAACTACAAATTCGATATAAAATTTGTTTTGTTAAAATAACCAAACTCCCCACTCCTCTAGCAAACAGCGATGTGAGGGCTCAAGGAAACATGCAAAGTAAGTTTCAGACTTCTGACAGCCAACACCACCAAAGTAATATCAGCTGTCATCGGTTTATCGCTAAGATTTGACCCCTTACGCTTTATTTGTCACCCTCAGATTGACTTTGCATGACAAGACAACCTCGTTCACAAAACTTTCTCCATAGAAAGCATCTCCCTTTCTCCCTTACTTATTCTGTTTCTCTAGGTGGCAAAAAGATGTAATATCATTGTAATAAACGTTTCCATGATCAAATGCTACTTATCTTAATTTCTATGCATATTTCAGGGCTAAAAGCTTGCATAAACTTCCCAGCTCTAATCACAATCATGGTTTTTGTCACTAGCCTTGTTATCTTACATGTATTTGAGTCTTCCTTTCCTGCCCTCTTGATTTCTGTCCTAAACTTTTTAGAACTTCAAGGTTTTCTGACAGATTAGTGCATTGAATTTGCATTGTTGGTCTTTCATCTGATGCCACCCAAGAATGTTCCCTTTGTGTCACCAGGTTTTCTACCTGTCTAGCTCTTCTTGATGGCTTCAGATTCTTTAATAGAATATTCATGAAATTAGTATAGTTTAATGTTCATGTTGTGAATCTTAAATTCATACCTCCCTGTCCGTTCATTTCATGGGCAATTTGGGAGAGAGTGGCAAGTTCCCAAGATTGGGAAGTTTTTACTGAGAAAATATTTTTTATGTTCCTTTTCTATGATTGGACATAGAATGTGTACATCTATCGATGTGAATTTTTTCATCTGCCTCTTGGAAAATTCGCTCTTGGTGTTGAAACAAGATTCTGTGCGGCCTCACTGCGTTTGTGCACATAGTGTTACAGAATTTCATGTACTTTTTAATTTATTTTTACACCATTTCCCTATATACAATGCCAATAATTTTTAGATTCTCTCTTTACTGAATCATTCAAAAATTTTGGGTGTGAATTGCCCAGCAAATTTACATTGGACACCAAAAATATATACACAAATAAAAGCAGTATTATAAATAATTTTAATAAAAATACACCCTGATGATATTTTTAACATCTTCACAGCTTATTGTTACATCAACTTTTATGAGTTATGGAACATGGAAAAACAATTTAAAAACATAAATCCTAACTGATTAGGGTTAATCTGCAATTGTTTGACCACCCCATATTTTTCAAATGAGATGTTTAGGAAAAAACCTTGTCTCATATTCAGATAAATACAATAATTGAGAAATTATAATCAAGGGCACAAGAAATTCAAGTGCTATTTGTTTATATATCTGTATTTGTTAATAAAACATAGAGCTATAAAATATAAATGAAAGTTGTGCATAATTGAGGTATAGTACTTAATATGCTGTTTAATTTTTTGTATCAAAAGACAGATTATATGACAACCCTAGAGAAGGACTTTGATTATCGGGATGAGCATTTTGACTTCATGCAACAATGGATTCGGCGATTTTGTCTTCAATATGGTGCAGCTTTGTTTTATACTTCTGCGAAAGAAGACAAGAATTGTGACCTTCTCTATAAATATTTGACGCACAGGATTTATGGATTTCCTTTCCGTACACCTGCGCTGGTTGTTGAGAAAGATGCTGTGTTAATGTAAGAAAGCATTTAGTGTTTTATGTTTTTTATTAAACTCTGTTTAAAAGTTTAAAAATAGTTTTAAAATCAATTGCAAATTAAAACCAATTTTCTTTACAGTCCATCAGGATGGGATAATAGTAAAAAAATTAGCATTTTGTATGAAAACATGCAAAGCATGAAGCCAGATGACTACTATCGTGATGTTATTGTACAGCCAATTACAAGAAAGGTAAGATGTTTTATTTTTATTTTTATAAAATTATGAACAGAATTAATTTATTCGAAAACGTTTTGTTATTTATGTGCATTCTTTTTTATTTAAACCCTTCATTTTGAATTAAATGGAAATTTTTGACTAGAATTTCTGAGGGAACAAACTTCACTATATTAAGATGTAATGGAAATGAAATGGCAATGACTTGCTGTGAATATTGAATTTTAAACTACAAAATAGAAGTAATCTAAATGAATGAGGAAGGAAATGCTTCAGCTCATTGATTGTGTGTTTTGTTTTTGTTTTAATGAGCTTCATGGATAGAAGAAAATAAATGTTTTGCAAAAATGTCTTGAATCTTGCAGTTCGAAATGCAGCTTAATAAAATTTACCTTTGACACATCATCAGTATGAAACTGCTCAAATTTTATTTTTTGCTATTTCTTTCTATATTTTTTGTTATTTCTTAAGTTATGCAAGGCGCAAAATTTTATGATATAAACGATACAAAAGTGATTTTTCCATGCTGTAAGGACCAGGAATGAAATAAAGTATGTAGTTCCATTAAGGTTTGTGGAAACAGGAGTTTGGTGAATTGGTCATTTTTTAGCATGTAGTAGGAAGAAATATAACAGAATTGAAGTGGAATATATACTTGTATTTAATTTGCTTTAATACTTATTGGGTTGTAGTTACTGCTTTCCATCCAGAAAAGAACAAATTTAACTGCTGAAAGGTTATTACTTGGTCATTTGTATTGTGCTTTGATTTTCAGCCAGTGACCAGAGAGTCTGAAACACAGGCAGAAGATGAACAGGCATTTTTGGCTAAGCAACAGACCAACCTACAACAAGGGTCACCTAATATGCGACAGGAGTCTCCCATGCGCTCACCAGCTGGAGTGCAGAAGACAGGCGAACACAGGCGATCATCTGGCGCCCCAGGGGTGCAAGGATCACCCAACAAGAAGGTTTCTATTGACCACATTATTCTTACTCAATCCCTTATCGTGTTAAGTTGGTCCTGCTAAAGGTAGATTGATTGTGTGATTTGTAACTCGTTCTTTCAAAACCTTAGGTCAGGTGGTGCATGAGGCACCACACTTAACATTCTTTGGAGCTGTTTGGTGGATGCATGTTTTCCACTTGTAGCTTCAATGTAGTTCAGTTGAAAAATGAAGGAAGGCTGTGTGCAGATAACATTTTTAAATGTTGTTGGTTTTTATTATTATTATTATTATTATTATTATTATTATTATTA